GTGGGACAGTCAATATACTATGTTATTCAATTGATCAAATGTGCATTAAGAAAGTTAAATCCCATACATTTATTTTTGTTCACTTTTTGGGCTTATAATGCAGCAATATGATTTGTTTTAAGATCCAGATTCAAAATTGAGAGACTATTGGACAATGGGATCCCGGACCATGATGCCTGCTAAATTAAATAACCAAACATAGCTATGCACTTTTAAACAGGAGTGTTAAATGTGAGGTGTGCTTTGTAAAAAAAATTAATTTTTTCTAACCCAAAACATAGTGTCCCAGATTTGAGCACAAGCTGTCCCACATTACCCTAATCCACCCTACTTCTGCTACATATACAGCTATATATAAACTATGTAGAATAATTCACAAAAGTCAAATTTTTAAGGTCCTGGGAGAATTAAACTCGCTCACCTGACCTTCTTCAGTTAGTAATGATTCTTAACGCGACAGCGGCCTCTACTGGTTTAGATTCACACATTCACTGAGTTTAGTAGAGACGCTTTGACACGTTCCTAGCAATACCCACAGACTACTAAATTGTCCCTAGCAATAATTTTGATCAAACGATTAAATATGTGTATGTAAGCACTGTTGTTGTAATGTCGGCGCATCTGCTAAAGGTCACAGCATTGATATTATCTGAGAAGAACATATAAGAGCAGAAGTGATTCAAACAGCTGAATGATAAAGTTCATCCTCTTTAACTTGATGTTGTTCTGCTGTTTTGTGTTCATCTGCTCTTTTTACATCGACTATCGCTCTGTAGAGACTCATACAATCACATACAACAACAATTCCTCAGATATTCTGATAAACTGAAGATTCACTGGATGCTTGCAGCTGATTTCTATTGAACTGTCAGCAACTGAACTGCAGTGCAAACTATTTCAGATATAGTCACTTAAGCTACAAACTCAATGTTTCCATCTAACATGTATTTTGAGCTGCAGCTCGTCACATTAATTGAGTATTAATTCATCTGAATATGTTCTAGATTTGTGTTGGATGTTATCTTTAGAATATTTATTTGTAAACATCACACTTTTTTTTAATCTTATTTCAGTTAATGGCATAAAACTAGAGTTTAGTCAGTAGTAGAGCTGACAGTGTCGTGTAAACATGACTGAAGACGAGAAAAGAGAAACAGACGAACTGTCATTTACTCTGAAACTGCTCCGATTGATTCAAACTCGGGACTTCGATCATTCAGGCGATTCACTAGCAAAAACCAGATCAAAAGAGCCATTTATTTTAGACTTTCGACATCACTTGTAAGGATTTTAAAAAGCACGCAGTGATGGTGAAACTGAGCTTTAAGAAACTCTGAATCAGTTAAACCATTGCCTCACAAAATGATTCACTGTTTCGAAGCGCTCCAATCAGATTTTTCTGATTTCTTCTTTTTTTTTTTTAAGCAGTACAAAACACCAAACCATTAAGGCAGTACAGTTCTAAAAACAAAACAAAAATGTGCAAGTAAAAGTGTATAATTTCCTAAGTCAAAAAATATCTAAACATATAAAACACATTTACTGGAGACGCACAATGAACACATGAAGGCCTCAACACAAATGTAAAGAATTACACCGAAACAGTCTGAATGTATGCAAAGATCACTTTTATTCATGTCATGATTTGTGATTGTCAGTGCACCTTGGGTTTAAGCATCATTTGGGATCGGTCCGCTGTGAGAAAGCAGCCGGTCGTACAGGTTTAAGTGCATTGTGGCAGTGTTAAGGTCAAAGACCAAAGGTCAGGACTCTTGTCTGCGATCCAGGTTTATTCAGTGGGTCAAACACAAGGTGCAGCATCTTCACATCTCATTCCAAAAGAACAAAACGGACAACAACCGAACAGATGAATGATCAAGAGTTCATACAAAGGTGAGCATGACCGAAAACACAGAACTGAACACGTTTGCACTGGAGATGCCATTCCCGCTGGACCGTCCTAACCCTGCTTGTAAACGTGGACTAGTGTAAACCTGAGCTGACCCGTCGCCAGGTCGAGAATGAGTGGAACAGCATTCGTTTGGAAGACGCAGACACACAGAGTTGGATTCTCTGCTACAAGACGCCACGGATCCTCCGTTTGAAGCATAGGTTTTGTTATGTCACCCGTTTCTCCGTCTAGTTAGAGATCGCCTAAACATGCAAACACCAGCATTATGTCAGTATGCTATCGTCACGCAGCTCTTTTCTATGCGGCGACTGTTAGAATCAGTGGCATTTTAGTGTTAATGACGTTAAACGTGGTGTGATTCACCAATGCAGCATTTTTAATATGTGACCCTGGAGCACAAAACCAGTCATAAGGGTCAATTTTGTGAAATTGAGATTTATACATAATAAATCAGCTTTCCATTGACGTATGGTTTGTGAGGATCGGACAAAATTTGGCTGAGATACAACTATTTGAAAATCTGGAATCTGAGGGGGCAAAAAAATCTAAATATTGAGAAAATCATCTTTAAAGTTGTCCAAATGAAGTTCTTAGCAATGCATATTACTAATCAAACATTAAGTTTTGATATATTTACGGTAGGACATTCCCAAAATATCTTCATGGAACATGATCTTTACTTAATATCCTAATGATTTTTGGCATAAAAGAGAAATGTATAATTGTGACCCATACAATGTATTGTTGGCTATTGCTACAAATATCCCCCAGCGACTCAACACTGCTTTTGTGCTGCAGGGACACATTTATGATTTGTTTCAGCGAAGATTCAGTGCATAGTGACTTAAAGCATCAGAAAATAGTGCATATGGGTTTTTTCAAATAAAATGTGTTTTTAAAAATTCGCATCTCGTAATGTCACGGGAAGACGAGTGAAATACGATCCGAACGGCTTACGGTCACTTTATCGGCTTGTTAAAAAAATACGGTCATAAACTGAGGTGTCTTCTACAGCTTGTGAGGTAAAGTAGAGATATTCTGTCTCTAAACCCTGCCATACAGAGCTTCGTCAAGTGCTTAGCTTATAATGCTCAGAGATGCACAGTGCGAGGTGTGCAGGCATACGTGTAACGATTATTCATCCATATTCCAGTCCGTGTCACTTTTCTGCAAATGCTTTATAGAAATAGCTTCCATCGACTAGACTTTCCTTTAAAGCAATTCACCCAAAAACGTTTACCATTCCGGATGTTGATTTGTTTGTAGACTTATGAGTTATAGTTTGTTTCTTCATCAGATTTGGAGAAATTGCATCAGTGTCTCACTGCAGGTGAATGGGTGCCGTCAGAACGAGAGTCCAAACAGCTGATAAAAACATCACAAGTAATCCACAGCACTCCAGTCCATCAGTTTGGACTCTCGTTCTGACGGCACCCATTCACCTGCAGTGAGACACTGATGCAATTTCTCCGCCGTCAGAACGAGAGTCCAAACAGCTTGATAAAAACATCACAATAATCCACAGCACTCCAGTCCATCAGTTTGGACTCTCGTTCTGACGGCACCCATTCACCTGCAGTGAGACACCGATGCAATTTCTCCAAATCTGATGAAGAAACAAACTCATCTCAGATGACCTGAGGGTGAGCACATTTTCAGCACACGCTCATTTTTAGGTGAACTGTTCCTTTAAAATGTTACATTTAGTTTAAGTAATCTCAAGTTAAATCCAGGAAAGTTATTCTAACACTAAATATTAAGTTGTGACAGCAAATTGCAACAATTTTTACTAATATGCATAACATAATCATTAGCATTCCTCATTTTCTGAACGTGTAAGTGATCGTTTGTGACGAAAGATACCATAAAGCACTTTCAGAAGCGAAACAATCAAAGATTTTCCAGGAGTGCAGTGACGCACTCTGTCGTCAAATCATATCATGTACAGAAAATAATATATATAGTTATACATAATCTATATACTGCTATATGTGAAACACTCGTATATAAAACAATCAGACCTCAGGTCAAAAGTTTAGTAACACAGTCATGTAGAAAAATAAGACATCTTGACAATTGCAAACGACTATGGCATATACTGCAGCTACGACTGTCATTGAGTGCTAAAACCATCAGAAGAAGAATCATCTAAAACTGAAAGAACAACAAAACGAGGGCTAGACTGCTAAAGAAGGCCAGGTTCAGCCAAAGCAAGGGAAGTGCACGGCTCGAACCGCTGGCATCATCTTCTATAGCTTCATTCTAGTGTTTATTGCTGAAAACAAGCGCTTTAATAAAGGATTCTGTACTTTCTAGTGTGTGCTGTGTGAGATGCTGAGGTTCGGTCTGTACTGAGAGCGCGCTGGAGGCCATAGAGGGGCGAAAGGGGCCAGGAATCTCACATTTAGTTCGCTTTGGTCCCATTTCTTTTTGTTGCAGAGCTTCGAAATGCATCTGTGATCAGGGGCCTTCAGCAGACGCTATTATAAGAGAGCAGATCTGCACACGCAATCCATCCGAATGATTAGTGATGCAGCGCATATTTTTGGCAGAATTAGCTTGTTAGTGGAAAAGTAAAGGTTGGAAATACTGTCACGCTACTGAAAATGTACTTAAAGGGACAGTTCACCCAAAAATATAATACAATTCTGTCATTTACTCTCCTCGTGTTGTTCCAGACGTGTGCAGTTTCTTTCTTCTGTTGAACACAAAAGAAGATATTCTGAAGAATGATGGGAACCGAATAGCTGACGGTAGCCATTGACTTCCATAGTATTCTTTGAAGTCAATGGCTACCGGCAACAATTTGATTCCAATCAAGGAAACGCACACAGGTTTGAATGACACGAGGAGAGTAAATGTGACCCTGGAGCACAAAACCAGTCATAAGGGTCAACTGTCTGAAATTGAGATTTATGCATCATCTGAAATCTGAATAAATAATCTTTCCATTGATGTAAGGTTTGTTAGGATCGGACAACATTTGAAAATCTGGAATCTGAGGGTGCAAAAAAATCTAAATATTGAGAAAATCATCTTTAAAGTTGTTCAAATGAAGTTCTTAGCAATGCATATCACTAATCAAACATTAAGTTTTGATATATTTACGGTAGGAAATGTACAAAATATCTTCATGGAACATGATCTTTACTTAATAACCTAATGATTTTTGGCATAAAAGAGAAATGTATAATTTTGACCCATACAATGTATTGTTGGCTATTGCTACAAATATCCCCCAGCGACTTAACACTGCTTTTGTGCTGCAGGGTCACATGATGATTTTGGGCTGAATGATCTCTTCTGTTATGCTAACTGCAGTCGACGCACTTAACCCGTCAAGATATAAATGACACTGTTGTGACTTGAAGGCAGCTGCACGATGTTGATATTTCTAACACAGCCCCTCGTGAGACTCGCGACCCCTTTCGGCCCCCTCATCAATCGATGGGGCCCTGGAAGATGAGGCGTGTGACCCCGGGGCCGGCGGCCAGCGGGGCCGAGCAGAAGGGGCAGGTGGGTCTGAAGGCGTGTGTCCCGTGAGGCAGCGGCGTGAGGGCCCAGTACCGGCCCGTCTTCTCCGAGCACACGTGACCGCAGGGCACAAAGGCGTGAGTCGGGGCCCCGGCGTCCGTGTAGAAGCCCGGCTCGGTCCCCAGCCACAGCGGGACGTACGGCCCCACGGTGCGGCAGAGCGGACACTCCCTCCGGCCGCAGGGGCCCTCCTCGCGCTCACGGTGGCCCTCGGGCCGCTGGCCCCAGTCGTGTCGGCCGTGGACGTGTCCGCAGCTCAGATAGGCCCAGGGCTGGTGCTCCTCCAGACTGTGGCTCCGCGGGAGGCTGGGGAAGGCCAGCGTGCTCAGACCCACGGGGCACTGCGGCCGCGCCGCGTTCAGCTCCAGACGCAGGGCATCCAGGTGCCGCAGGGTCGGGGCCTTCAGCAGACCGTCTGCTGTTCGCCAGAGCAGCGTCGCTCCACACAGATCCACCAGAGAACCGTCCTGCAGAGCGCTGCTCTCACCCTGTGCCTGCAAACACAACACCACCCATAAAATATCAGGATTTAAAATCAGGTTTGATAATAGGGTTGATTTTTTTACATCAATATTGCTATAAATATAATGTTATAAAGCGGAGAGTTCCGGTGCTTGATTCTGATTGGCTGAGCCGCGTTCGAAGCTGTTGTAAATGACGCTACAAAGTAACACACACCTTTGTTACCATTTGTCTGTTGCTCGGCAACCACTTTGTAGCAACCACAACTGTTTCTGAGGAGCTACATTGTTTGGTGGAAGAATACTGTGTTTATTAATAAGTCAAGTCACCTTTATTTTTATATAGCGCTTTTAACAATACAGATTGTAATATCATTACACTTTATTTGCTCTGTTTTATTTTGTGAAACCTAACTACGTATATGGAATAACCGTTTTATAAAAGCAGTAAGCCCCGTGAAGCCTTGGTTTACAGTGAATTTATAACAGCTAAGGCTCCGCTTCGCATCGTAAAAAATAATTTTATTTTATATTTCAACTGTTAAACTACAATACTAATATTTATGGTTGTCTTCATTTCTTTCTTTTCCGGTTGTACTGTGAAATTAAATATTATTATTATTATATTTACTTAAATACCAACTTAACGAAATATTACAATAGTAATATTTATTATTCGGTTTAATATGTTCATGTTGCGATAACAACACTAATAATAACAACAACAACAACAAAAACAATACTACTAAATAAAAACATTAAATATTACTATTGTGGTATTTCACAGTAAAATTTAAATTGAATATTTAGGAAAAATTATTTAATTTTATTTTAAAGCACAACTGTAAATTTACAACACTAACGCTTATAGCTGTCTTCATTTCTTTTAATTTACAGCTGAACTGTGCAATAAAATTATTATTTTCATGTTGTAATAATAACAACAACAAAAATACTGAATAAAAAATAAAAAATATTACTACAGCAATTTTATTGCGAAATAAAAAAATAAGGAAAATAATAATAATAATAATTGTATTTTAAAGCACAACTGTAAAATTACTATACTAATGTTTATCACTTAATTTCTTCATTACAGTTGAACTATAAAATACATTTATTATTATTTTCTTAAACACTACTAATAATATTATCAAATAGTACAAAATTTAATATTTTCATATAATAACAATAATAACTTTTATTATTATTATTGTTAATATTAGTCATATTGATATATAAATCACAAAAGGTTTGGCCAAAACCCAGAGTTTTGTTTTCAATGGAAATGTACTTTTGTAAAATTTTATTAGTTTTATTATTAATTCATTTTTATCAGAAAACGTCACGCAGCCTGAAGACAGGATGTTCATTTAAGCAGGTTATTTCTCCAAAATCTGTCTTTTTCAGTGAACTGCCGATCTTTAACGAGAGCGCTGAGGTGAGGTCAGAAACGCTCCGGATTTAAAGCTCCGCTGAGGAACATCTTTTCACAGCAACCCCTGAATCTGTATGTTAGTGTTAGTGTTAGTTGTGGTGTTTACCAGCTGGCCGCGGATGGGTCCGGATCGGGTCTCTCTGAGAGCGTAGACGTCTCCGCACACAGAGATCTCTCTCCACAGGCCCTGCTTGGGCTCTTCCGGGAAACCCAGAGGATGCATCACCAGAACGCCGTTAGTCGTCAGTCCGTCCATGTGACCGTCCGGATTCTTCCATTTAGTTGCTTTCTCCTGCGTGACAGATGCATCAGTTAGCAATGAGCAAAGCGGCATATTTTCATAATCAACTAGTCGCATGATGAACTGATGAAGTGTATTTCTTGAACGTAAAGGCTGCTCTGTGCCTGCTTAAAACTTAGTGTAAAAATGCAACGCCTAGATGAAACTATGCATGCTCAGAATCTAGTTACAAAGCATATATTTGCTGCGTAAATGCATTCATGCCACATCTGAGCTGCATTAAGCAGTCTGTGTAAAGAAGCCCAAATGCCACTTCATTACTGCCTAATGCATAAATGTCAAAAAAGCACAAGAAAATATATGAAAATAGTGAGCTGACATTCTTAATTTTGTCTGACAGTATATATGTGACCCTGGAGCACAAAAACAGTAATAAGCGTCCATTTTGTGAAATTGAGATTTATGCATCATCTGAAAGCTGAATAAATAATCTTTCCATTGATGTATGGTTTGTTAGGATCGGACAATATTTGAAAATCTGGAATCTGAGGGTGCAAAAAAATCTAAATATTGTGAAAATCATCTTTAAAGTTGTTCAGATGAAGTTCTTAGCAATGCATATTACTAATCAAACATTAAGTTTTGATATATTTACGGTAGGAAGTTTACAAGATATCTTCATGGAACATGATCTTTACTTAATATCCTAATGATTTTTGTCATAAAAGAGAAATGGATAATTGTGACCCATACAATGTATTGTTAGCTATTGCTACAAATACTGCTATTTATGATGCATAAATCTAAATTTCAGAAAATTGACACTTATGACTGGTTTTGTGCTCCACGGTCACGTTTAATCTTTTAAGCTCCGCCCCTCAAATTCAAGCTCATCTGCATAGAGAGCCCCACCCACATCTCTACATCCAATCAACGACCGATGCACAGAATCCCACCCTACATCTATTACACTCATTTCATCGCGACTTTTTAATATTAACACATTAGTGGCTACGTGGTTATTGAAGGAGTTTTCCAGTCTCAACATCTGAAAAGCGATTCCTTACAGCACTACTGACCCCGAGGAAGATGTTCTTGGAGGAGTCGAAGCCGGCGGCGTAGATGCGGGCGGTGTAGGGCGGGTTTCGGTCGCAGACGATCCTGCAGGCGAAGCGGGAGATGGTGCTGGGAGCCGAGCTCGAGTCCTCGCTCTCCTGGGATGCTCCTGGTGTGTCGGTCACCACGAAGTCTATGGGGCTCTCGGTGGAGCGGCCGATCTGCAGAACACAGATATCACACTGGAGCAGTGTACTTCATGCTGCCTTTTTATTACCTTCCCGGTCAGACACATTGTTTTGAGTGTCAGAAATGCTGGTTTTTCTTCTCTTAGGGTCGTAAAAACGCCTGCAGGGTTTCGACAGTGCGTATGCTAAACACAGGTGCAAAGTTAAACACAGGTGCAAAAACATCAGTTTCTCAACTAAGGCTGTTTACATTTACACGCATGCATAAATGTACCCTGCGTAAATGTTTATCAGTTCATGCATGAGAATTGCTCCACCGTTTGAGCTTCTAGAAAGCACACACACAAACTAAAAAAATATATATATTTATGTATAATATAATTATACATAAAATTATATTATATATGGGTCAAAGACGTTAAGATGTCCACATCAAAAGAAATTTACAAAAGTGATTATATGTCCATAGAAAGCACATTAAATGTAAGTTAAAGTGTCTACTTTTAAGGTTTCAAATTCGGTCTGTACAGTATAAAAACCATTACGCCTATGGAGAGTCCCCACTTTTCACAAATGTAAACCTGTGTGTGTGTTTGTTTTTCATAATTCTTTAACTGAAACCCAGTTAGGGTCAGTTTGATCGGAGCATGTGGAACTGACCTGGAACATGTCTGTGAGGTTGTCATGGCAATACTCCACCACCACCGTCTGGCTCCTGGAGAGAGTGAAGGAGATGCTGTGCTGCCCCCTGCTGTTCACCGCCTGCAGAGAAAGGTCACAGAGCTTCACTATCCCACAATGCACCGCATTTAATGCACTAAAGCCTCCAGAGGCGCTTCCTCACTGAATAAAACACGCACCTTGCTGTCGTGTGGGTTGCTGAGGATGTGCACGGCGCTGGGCTTGACGCCGTTAGCTTTGGTCCTCCGGTGAAGAGCGAAGCGGCTCCTCTTGCGACCGCGGTCTCCTCCGGGAAGAGAGCCATTATACCTGCAGCACAGCAGCAGAGACTCACGCTTCTTAGCATCTCACAGTATGAGGAACCGTATATATACAGTGGGGAAAAAAAGTATTTAGTCAGCCACCAATTGTGCAAGTTCTCCCACTTAAAAAGATGAGAGAGGCCTGTAATTTTCATCATAGGTATACCTCAACTATGAGAGACAAAATATATATATATATATATATATATATATATATATATATATATATATATATATATATATATATACACACTACCTCTCAAAAGCTTGTAATGTGTTTTAAAGAAGTCTCTTCTGCTCATCAAGGCTGCATTTATTTGATCAAAAATACAGAAAAAAGTTTTTTTTTTCTATTTTGCTAAAATCTGTTCAGGTCACTTTCATCCCATAATCAAAAACATAAATAAATAAATATGAAAAAAATTATACATACACTACTGGTCATAAGTTTGGGATCAGTAAGACTTGTAATGTGTTTAAAGAAGAATCTTCTGCTCATCACGGCTGCATTTATTTGATCAGAAATACAGAAAAAAACAGTAATCTTGCAAAATGTTATTACAATATAAAATAATGGTTTCTATTTTAATATCCTTTAAAATATAATTTATTTCTGTGATGTGCAGCTGTATTTTCAGCATCATTACTCCAGTCTTCAGAGTCACATGATCTTCAGAAATCAGTATAATATGCTGCTTTATTATTAGAATTATCAACAGTTGTGTTGCACAATATTGTTACAGTTGTGTTTTTTGAAAACTGATACTTTTTTCAGGATTCTTTGATGAATAAAAAGTTAAAAAGAACAGCATTTATTCAAAATATAAATCTTTTCTCACAATATAAATATTTGCTGTCACTTCTTAACAGTTTAACACGTCCTCGCTGAATAATAGTTTTAATTTCTTTAAAAAAAAAGAACGAATAAAAATGTACTGACTCCAAACTTTTGAACGGTAGTGTATATTGTTAGAAAAGATTTCTATTTTAAATAAATGCTCTTCTTTTTAACTTTTTATTCATCAAAGAATCCTGAAATTTTTCAAATATAATTGTTTAATAATTATTTCAAATATAATTGTATCTTGCTGTATTTTATGCACATCTGCATGTATTTTTTACATATACAGTATATACATATATTTTTTTCTTAATATTTTTAGGACTAGAACCGCTGAAAACTCCAGAGATTTGAGGATATTGGGAGGAAATCGCATGCATGTGATGTCCATGTTAAGTCCAGGAGACGGCGGCGTGTCACACAGAAGCCTAGTATGCGGTATCCAGTGTGCACGGCCGGAGAAAGGCGCTTTTGTTCACACTCGCTCACAGGCATGCGTGTGTGTGTTTGAACAGCACGAGGACGACGCAGCTGGGCTCATACTGGCGGTCATTTATACAAACTTTAGTGCACATGCACAGGTGAATGTTCATATAGCGCATAGATTCTGCTGTTAAACAAGCCAAAGCGTCCAGAAGAGCAGTGAAGTGGAGCGAGTGCTGCAGACACACTGACAACATCTACAGCAGTCAAAGTGCAGCTTCAGCACTACACACAGAGACAGAACGCAGCAGAGATAGTGTTCACATGAGTGCATGCAACATACAAACACTCACTCACACAAACTCACTCGCACACACACACAAAACACTCACTCGCACGCACACAAGCACTCACACGCACACAAACACTCACTCACACGCACAAACACTCAATCGCACACAAATACTCACACTCATACGCACACAAACACAAACACTCACACTCACACAAACACTCACTCGCACAAACACTCACTCGCATAAACACTCACTCGCACGCACACTCACAAATACTCACTCTCACTCGCACGCACACAAGCACTCACTCACATGCACTCACAAACACTCACTCGCACGCACTCACACAAACACTCACTCGCACACAAACACTCACACGCACACACTTACGCACGCACTCACAAACACTCACTCACACAAACACTCACTCGCACACAAATACTCACACTCATACGCACACAAACACAAACACTCACACAAACACTCACTCGCTCGCACACTCACAAATACTCACTCTCACGCACACTCACACAAACACTCACTCACACTCTCACAAATACTCGCTCGCACTCACAAACACTCACTCGCACGCACACTCACACGCACACTCACTCGCACGCACACTCACACAAACACTC